TGTATATATATATAAAAATAGCAATTTCATAGTTATATACAGGCATTAATAAAGTGCATAATGTTATTGGCTATTTTCAAATCTCATTTCCTGAGGAAGTGCTAACATACATAGCTCCTCCTGCGACATGATGCCGGCAGCCAATGTTAGGGTATGACACCTACTCCCCGGCTTTTAATTCCCACGAATACATCTCCCTGTCTGGAGCCGGAGTCTAAAGGGAGTAGTGACAGCCTCAGTCCTCCAGGAAGCAAGTCAAGGCACCGATCGAGACTTCTTCCTTTGCCAAGGTGAACGCGTCTAGGAGCAACTTCCCTCCATTTCGGAGCTCTCGGGTGCGCGCTACTTGGCGGTGGTCACGGAGCCGTCTTCGGGGATCTTCTCCTCCGAACAGCTTCTTCCCGAGAGCTTGTCGTGGTGCTTGAGCTCGCTGAAGCGCTCCACAACGCACTGCGCCGTCAGCCGGGCCTCAGGGTCATGGTCCCAGCACTCAATAAGAGTTTCACAGACCATCTGGATGCCCTGCAGAGAGCACAGAGAGAGCAGCCGTGATGGGGCCAGTCACCGCCAAAGCCCGTTGTGTGAGAGTCGCTTTAGTGCCCTCTGAAGTGCAGGGGGACATTCACGTGTGTCCTGGAGGTGCTTTATGGGCTTTTCTGCTACTGTCATGGGGGCATGCTTTTCTTTTTTTTTTTAAAGAAACCCTACTATGGTATTTTCAGCACTTTACTGTCATTTCCAGGCATATGTTCTGATACTTTAACAAGAAAAATGATGCTTTGAACTAGTGCTATAGAATCAAGTAGGGTTTTTTTTTTAATAAATGTGATCAGAATTCTTGGATAACATGACTTCCTGCTCAACCCATGCCTTTGCGTGCCTGAATTCTGTTTGGGCTTTTCGAACAAAGTTCTGATTGCCCGCAATATCAGGCCCTACATCAGCCCTTCATTAATTCCTTGCAGACTAACTAAACCTACGTGCAAATATGGGCCACAGTCCCACAAACACTTAAACACATGTCACTCACAGATGTAACTATTTAACCTTCATTTCAATGCTGATGCACATGTTTACAGGAGCAAAAAACAGTTGCATCTGTGTAATGCATTTTATAAACATGAGGTATTTGCCAGGAAATTGTGTGCTTTGCTTTATGACACTAAAAGCCCATTAAGTAGGATTTATCTTAAACTTCTTATTGAAAAAAATAACATTTCACAACACTGCATTAATTGCATAATTTACCTAATTGGTGATGTTGACTGATGTCAATGTTAATAGCAGAACGTTATTGTCTGTATACAAATAACATTAGTTTTCTGCTGGCATTGAAATTACAAGCAGTAAATTAAATTAAATATTAAACATTAACTTGAAATCAATAGTGCAACAAATCTCATTAAAGGGGGGAAAAATTGTAATATGTAAATCCATTCCAGAATTTTATCACGATGAATAATGAGTTCATTACAAAAACATGACTGCAGAGGAAGGAAATGAATATGGAAGAACCATTACAGTAAGAGCAACTTCTATGGAGTTCAAAGCAGATCCTCAGCTGCTGCAAACTGTCACAGCCCCGCGGAAGCTGATGCGTCACTGCATTTTAGATAGAGCAGTGTGAAATGCTGAAGGGATTCAGATGAAGGGAATTAAATCCACCTTCATTATATGTCCTGTGAGTGTGTTACCAGGAATCCATTTCCTGCCCTAGACTCTTAGCTGAACCTTGCTGGAGCCAGCTGTGCTCGTTCCGGTGACACACAAGCGCAGACGGGTGGTCCTCCCAGTCGGTGGGGTGTCCTGTACTGGGGGCAGACTGAGGTCTGGGTTTTACATAGGGAAGAAATCCCTGAAGTCGAATGCAGGACACCTAAGTCCAAATCTGCGATTATTTTACTTGCTATGTACATCCAGAGGTGAGGAAATTCACAGTGTATCTTACTGTCTCTACTCCAGTACCTCGAGCTGCAGCCCTCCACACACTCAGGTTGCTGCCATGGGAGCAGCTGCGGACCTGCCCCATGCCTGAGCACCACGGGGATCCTGAGCCCAGTGCTTCCCTGCCCAGGTGCCCTGGGCATGCTGGCACACCTATGCTTGCCGCTATGCCTGGCTGTGTGTGAAATGAGGTCCTGGACACTTCTCTCCAAGGCATAACCAGCTGTACTGCCCATTTCTACTGCCACATAAGGCAGTGCCCGCAGGAATAGCCCTCTCCTGAACGCTGACAAGTCTCTGGGCCACCTAATACTGCCCCAGGCCTGCTTTAAGTGCCAATGACTTTTGCTTTATAGGGGCTTTCACCACCTTCTATTACACGTACATCATGAATTTTGTTCACAATGAGGGTGGCGAAACACTGGCCCAGGTTGCCCTGAGCGGTGGTAGATGCCCCATCCCTGGAAATATTCAAGGTCAGGTTGGCGGGGCTCTGAGCAACCTGGTCTCGTTGAAGGTGTCTCTGCTCATTGCAGGGGGCGGGGTGTGGACTAGATGACCTTTAAAGGTCCCTTCCAACCCAAACTATTCTATGATTCTATGATCATCTGACTCTTCCCAAAGGCAGAACAGAAATATTTGCTGACCATGTCTGCCTTTGCATTAGCATAAGCAGTATCTTTCTTTCATATCCAGCAACAGATTGGTACTAAGTTAGATTTCCTTTTGCTCTTGAGAAAACTGTGATTATCCTCAAGTTTGCTGACCACAGATCTTCCTGTTGTTCTTGTTTCCCTAATCAGTTCTCTACCCTTCTTTACTTTAATTGTTTTCACACATGAGACCATGTCTTTTGAATATCCTGAGAAATGTTCTCACACTGTTCCTAATTTTAAGCATTTTCTACTATTTAATTTTTATCTCCCAAATGATCTGGCTCAGGATTTTTTTCTGCTTTGTTAACTGGGCTCTTCTAAAGTGCCACATATGTATTACCAGTTTGGACTGCATTTTGGCTTCGTGGAAAACAAACAACTGCAATAACTCATGATCCCTTTTACCAGCTCATCCACATTTTTTATAAAATTTCTGTAACCAGTTCTTTTCTATAAAGATGAGCATTAGTATAATCTCTCCTTCCCAGCTCAACTTGTCATTTAGAAGATGGTTGTATCTATGGCTCCTAGAAAGGTCAAGGGCTTTTTAGTACTTGTAAGATCAGATATCCAGGTTCCCTCAAAATACAGGTCTCCTCCCCATTTAAAGCACCGCTCCTCGATAACCCTACTCATCACAGAGGAGCAAGTCCCTGTGGTCCAGGAAAAGGCTGCACTCTGCCATAGTCATCAGGCGGCAGATGCATTGCTCGTGGTTGGAAAGATGATTGATTTTGGCCATTCACTTGGCCTTTCCTAAGTAGGTGTTAGACTGTGATTTTAACATCTCAACTGGAATGAAAAAGGGAGTGTTACATTGCTCCTGATGGAAATACTAGCTGATCTTGGTTGACTGGGCTTTTATAAATGTTGGCGATGCTTTCCTTTTGTCTGTAAAGACCACTCAACATATTTCATTGACAAGTGAAACGACCAAGTCTCACTTCTCCTCTGAGATGATTCTCATTTTATCTCTTCTGATAAAACTGCTCAGAGCAAAGGTGAAGAAATGCATGCCCTTGGCTTGCTTCCATTTAGTTTCATCTACTGAGAAATCGGGCTGCAACTATCACCTAGGAAGTGCAACCATGGTGTCTGTGAATGGGGAAAGCTGACAGAGTGCTTCACGACATGCAAGGGAAATGGACTGCTAATGCGCAACCTGAATAAAAACAGACTGGCTTGCTGAAGACTCATTTCCTATTTTCTTAAACCTGTCAACAGCTGGGATACAACTATGACTGCTCTCCATGATAAAGTACTGAGATTTGTTTTCTCTGCTGAAGGGGCCCATGTGCGAATTTGTTCTCTTTGACCTTTCAGAGCCTGCACACAGTGTGCTGTAAGGCCCTAATTATTCTGTGGCTGTCTGGATGATTGTCGGGTCTCAGGTTTCCAATCTTTTTTTTTTGATCACTTTTAGATTACATTGGTGGACAGCAGAAATCCCAGGGCTTTGGGGTAGGCATGGTGCAGGGCACTGTGGTGTCTGAACCACGGCAGCACCGGTCTCACCATGTGAAAGAGCTCTAATCTGTGCAAAAGAGAGGTCCAGCCTGTTGGGCAGGACACTGAGTTAAGGCTCAGGCTTCAGGCAGCAGCTAAATGTATAGTGCAGTTCCCAGCTGCTCACGTGTGGTGCTCTTACCTGATGGTTAAGCCAGGAGCTGGGGATCTCGGGTCGCCCTCTGTCTCTTAAGACATTGTCCTTCATGCTTTCCACGCAGGGGTGTTCTCGTACTTTAGAGCCAAACGGGGGCTCGTACTCTTTCACTTCTGCCAAGAGAATAAGCAAACACAAGGGCATTCAGCTGGGCTGCGCTGGTGCGAAGTGTGAAGGGAGCTGTCTGTTCTCTGGAGGAGTAGGAGCTACTGATTAGCTGCTCAGTGCCACTGTTCTGCTTGACCAGCTCCAAACAATGCAAAGCCACTTGGCATTTTCAAAAATGTTTCAAATATGTTTCTCCCACGTGCCCCCTCCCTCCCCTTTTCTTTCCTAGCCAACTAAACAATTTTCATTTAAACCCTTTAGTGCATAATCATATTAGCAACAGTCAGAGGAGCAGATTAACCTATAATGGTTTGTGAGCCTTTCAATCTCTGCTGAGGCAAAACACACAGGAGCTTCAAGGTGAGTTTTGCTTGAGCCAGGCTTGCAAGAACTGGTCCCCCTTAGTTCCCCTGGAGTCCATACATACTTACCAGGTGAAATATAAACTGAAATCTATCTAGGTCATGATAGATGTTGATGTGCCAGATTGCTAGGAGGAAACAGTTGCTTGAAAAGGACAAAGATACAGTAAGGAGCAGTGCTGGAAGCTGCTATGCTGCCCTTGTTTATTACTGAGCTGTGTTCCTTTATAGAAAGTAGTAGTCTACTCTTATTTTAGGCCTCTTTCCCAAAATGGGTCAGTTTTGGCCTATGATGCAGGGGGCACAGCTTCCTGAAGGGGCTGCTGCCATTCTAGTTTTTGTTTGCATGTTGCATATTTTCTTTGCTTTTCTTTGGAGAGAGAATGAAAGAGGCAGACATATGGGACCTTTGGAGAAAACTCAAGAAATCTCTGAAAGCGGAAATATTATAGTAGATGCTGACACAGTGTAGAAAATGCTGTGGTTTCTTTGGGAACAGATGGAGACTTTACTCACAGGCCTAATGACTTGCTAGTATTAGATAAAGATTTATGAAGTTGGCCTGTTCTGCTGCCTCTTATTTCTTTCTAGGAATTAATTGCGGGCAAGAAAAACTGAAGTGTAATCTACAAGGCAGTCTGAAGAGTGCATGTGAGTGCCCAGAAGATGTGTAAAGAGACATGAACGAAATGGGAGACGTTGTACTTTGCGTAATGTTACAACCAAAGTTCAAATGCAGTGTCCAGTGCTGCTCACTTCTCTCAAGGGGCATTTTACGGTAAAAAGAAGCTCTGAGAAGGGTGATAACAATGATTAAAGGCCCAGAAAAAATGGGAGGAACCTCTAAAGCTTGGCTTTGTTTACTTTGTAGAGAAAGGTAAGGAGTCATATGATAGAAGACTGAAAATAACTAATGATCAAGATTACACAGGTCAGATCCTTCTGTCATCTCATGATAAAAACAAGGTAGTATTGAACATAACTAAAAAGTGGACTTTTCTCCAAAACCTTAGAGTCAGGCTGTAGATCTCACTTCTACTTGATGGCCACAAGATGAAGACTTTATCAGGCTACAGAAAAAGAATTTCTAATGTTTAAAAAGAATGGCCAAGTTATGATAACAAACATTTTGGAAGGGATATTAAACCTTGTGCTTCAAACATTCAGCGTTTAGAGATCCAGCTGCAAACAACTGTGTGTGCAGTGCAGCAGATTACCCCACAGATGCCTCCTGCAGATCTCTCCTTCTTTCTCCTGAACCATCTGGTGCTGGCCACTGTCCACGCAATGCTCTGGAGAGCGGCTGTAGCCCCGAAACACAACTCCTATCTTCTCATATGTAAATCACTTTCTTTAAGACTCAAGGGCCAAAGTCTGCTTTGCTTTCTTTCCTCTACAAGAAGGCATACCGGTTTCACCAGCATTAATCTGAGTTAGAGACTACTCGGCCAAAGTAAATTTACAAGACTTTAGCCCTAGAAATTAATTGGGAAGTTGCCATCTTGCTGGTCAGACCTGGATTACTATGCAGCGGATGCACAATGATTACAAAGCAGATACCTCTACTTTCAAAGCTAACCAAAATATTAACGTTTGCTGGGAAAATTTAAATAGTATGACCTAGATGGCCATTTCCTAGACCATCTCCATCAGTCATGGTTTGACTGTGGTAGTGGTCATGGATACCAGCCAAGGCTCTGAGATCTTCTTGCAGTATGAGGAGTCAGAGGAGTCCGAATGTCCAACAGAAGGAAGCTGGTGCTGTGGTGTTGACCTGTTCCCTCTCGCTGAGCTTAATCCGAAGGCCATTCAGATTCATGAGATGGTTCAAGTGGGGGACGGGAAAGCCTTCCCAGGGAATCGATAGGTTTGTAATACATTTTCCCTGTTTGAGAAATTCCTTCTATGCTATAAGCATTCCTCTTCCAAATATAAAGATTGAATAGGTTTTTCAGGTTTGGGTTTTTTTGGTTTTGTTTTGTTTGTTTGTTTGTCTTTTAATGGTAAAGAAAAACAAATTGAGGCCAGATGCCAATTCGCCGTAATGACTTTATAGTAATACTGTCGTGCCTTCCCTCAGTTTGAACAGCATGCAGCATCTTCTTGCTATTTATTATCTTTTCCCTTAGAAAGAAAAGCCCACTGAATCCTCTCGCAGTAAATCATCCTTATGCTGTGGAATCTCAGGTGTCAGATACATTTTGCAGTAATAGTTGGGGTTATTCATGCTACAGTAGATTAACAGATGTCAATTTGAGGTAGGTTAAGATGTTTGTGCCTAGCTGCTTGTGCATGGCTATATACAGATGCTGAATCTATTTTTCATGCCTTGTATGTTTCTTTTGATTGCTTTCAGACCAGTCAGACACTAAAAATGACAGCTGGCTGAAATACCATAAATACCTCAGGTACCATGAACTACAGCACCTTTAGCGTTCAGTAATGGCAGAGTTCGTTCAACTTTAACCTCCAGCATTTAATCTTTATGGTTGTGAGCTACCTTGCGCTAATAATCACAGTACCTCTTGTTTCCTTTGACACTGGCCTGGCCATAACTGTCAGAAAAGCTGGGACTGGATTTTTAGCCCCAAACAGAGACATTACTGAAAATCTATTTGTTGTGCCTGATGAATGCTTTGGAAAATTTGGCTGTGGGTTCCTCATGAAAAATACGCCTCGCTCATGTAATCTTTTTCTACTCTAAGCTCTTTGCAGTGAGAGTCTCTTCCTTTGGGTCAGAACAGCATACCTGCCAACCCTGTGGACACTCCCTCATGTGATTTGTCTTACTGATTTCTGTGGGACAACTTCTCATGCTGGAAGATGAAGGCTCATTTATAGAATCAAAGCAGGAGTGAGGTGAAAGAAGGCCAGCAAAAATCAACAGCAGTGGGCTTGTGTTCAGGAACTTTTAGGTCCTTTTGAAACACCCCTCCCTTTAGAGTTTACAAGGGGACAGACACAGAAGGGATAAATCAATGGTGGAGCTACTGTCACAGCTCATGCACACATACACACCTGTGTGTGTGTGTGCAGATTGTGTTTTTTCTTCATGCTAGAGGAATTTGGGTGGTGGATCTTCTTAGCTGTTGCACAAAGGGATAACAATGCATAAGGCAGAGGCTCAAAAGCCATTTCACGGCCAAGTTTAAGGAGCTGTCAAATGCTTACTTCACGTTTTCCCTGGGTTTCCCCGTTCCACTCCTTCAGAATACGGACGCTAGCTGGGAAGGGTGAGGGTGCGTTGGGATGGGTGAACTGATTGTGCAGCTTCCCTTGCACAGACACGTTTTAAGTGACTTCACATCTGATGATCAAAGACACAGCCACCCTTCCAAAGGTTTGGGAGGGCACAAGCTCTGCCATCAGTGTATGGTTACAGGCTGCTTAGTCACTGTGTGCTGGATCCTGAGGTGGGAAAGTAGAAGAACACAGAGCACATCAGCAGCCAACATGGAGTGTAGTGCAGCAATCTTATCTACTGCTACCTGGGCTTGTTGAATGACAGCAATCAGCAGCCAACATGGAGTGTAGTGCAGCGATCTTATCTACTGCTACCCGGGCTTGTTGAATGGCTTCCTACCTTACATGTAGTACTGTGGTGACACTTAGAGAATTTCTAGGACATGAGTTACTGTCATGGGGTGACGCTGCACTGTGTGGATGTACCAGCTCGGGGTTATAGGCCACCACAAGCCAGCGTAGTGGCTCTACTCCACAGAAGGAGAGGTTTAAATCAGGCCCCGGCTGCAGCCACCTCAGGGCCCAATGCACAGGCACAGCCCCACTGTACAGGCTATCAAAATGCTCCCTGCCACCAGAAACTGTCACCTCTCCACATCAATATGATGAAAGCTGAGCATTTCACGAGGCACGGGATGCACAAATGTTTAGTTACCAAACCGTGGCTCTTGACTGACTCTTTCCAAGTAAGCATAAGATTAATCAGTGATTTTATTCACATTAAACACAGCTCTGGTAAAGCAAGGCTGCCATCTCAAACAAAGCCCTGCTGCTATACCGAAGCCAGCCACCACTCCAGGCAGTACAATACTGCATGAGCAACGTCGCCATTTTCTGAGGGGTTTCTCTTCTCCCTCTTCACCAACCCTGTGTATCCAGAAGTTCCCTTTCCTCTCCTTCTCCCTTGCCACCCCCAACAGTCCCCCTCTCGTAGCAGCTCCGATACAAAACAGATGGTTTTCTTCTCTTTCTAGGAGGCTGTCAGAGAAATTACACTTGCCTCAGTCGCCAAAGCTGTGTCGCTCTGAAAGCAAGTGGTTGAGATGAAAATTATATTTCTTGCAACGTGCAGCATCTGGTGCACAGCTGTTGCGCTGAATGAAATACCAAGTTAACGGCAGCATGGAGCAGTTGAAGTTCTCCCCAAAGTAGTATTGCTGAGTTTCTAAATATGCCTCTTAAATTATACTCTGGTGAAAAATCAGTCAAACTCGATCTTTGCCTCCGTCTCCCTTTCCCCTGTGCCCCATTTCTGCTTCTCCGTATTTAGCACAACAAAGTAACAATGAACAGCATGGCCTTTCTCGAAAGCAGATCCCCACCTGCTTATTTACTATGGCAGCTTCACAGTATGGATTATGCTGCTGGGTATTTTTGTTTAAACATCTGCTGACTGAAAAGGCCTGGCATAGCATGGAGACTGTGTTTGACAAAGCTGCTGTAGCGAAAGGACCTGCCTCCATCGCCTCTCACACTCACCGAACACCTGTACGCTGACAAACGAATCCTGAGAGCTCCCTTTGTAAAAGAAGTAAGTCACTGTACCTTGACGTGGCTGAATGGCAATTAGCGCCCCCCACGTGCTTCCCTCCCTAATTAAAGTTGCTAATGCTGCTGCCTCAGCTTAGACTGCCACTCCTGCCCTCTAAACTGCCACAGGTTTTTCTAGTGACGGGGAGCTGACACCGCAGTCAAGCCTGCCCTGCAAAGATGGTGCCTACATCTTTTAGGCTCCTTTGGAAGGGCTGGCTGCAATCAGGTCAGCCTACTCCAGCTTATAGGGGAGGTCATTTCTCTCGGTGCCTAACAGTTTAGGAAGAAAAGAGGGGTTTGCGTGAGCGGAGGCAGCTCCTCGGGAAGGCTGCGAGGAGAGGAGGGAGTCTCACGAATGACAGATGGAGAGGGAAAGCAGAGGGGGAGCTGTAGTCATGAATCACTGTAAGGGTATTTCACCAGCTGGTTGCAAAGATAGCCAGACTGCACGAACCAGGGGAAAATCTAAGAAGGAAATGAGAGAAACCGTGCAATGCAGCTGCAGCTCAGTACCAGTGACAAGTTAAAGGAGCTACATCCTGGGAGTTGTGTTTAACTGCTCTGGATGAAGACACTAAGCCCAAGTTCCACCCTCCACAGATCTGCCCAAGTACTCCTGTGGTTTTGCTGGGGACTTCAGCCCCTGGAAATATGACTGAAATAGGGAAACGAAATTCAAGAAATGTGTTTCTGGAGATGAGGATGACTGAGGGATGAAATGAATAGGGCGGGGGTTAAGCTCCACCTTGAAAGCAAAGGGGACGCTGGGCCAGAGAAATTTTTCCTTTTCCTGAAATGACTTCAGCTCTTCTTCTAAAGGTTATAATGGGTCAGTCTCTTCTAGCCAAACATGCTGGTGATTTTCCTTCCTTATGAAACTCCCTTTATATCCTCTTTTAGGCAGTTGCCTTCTGAGAACAGCAGCAATAAGGTCCGCTCTTGCCACAATCTCCATTTCACCATACTCAGCAAATATGAACAGGAAGGCATCAGCAAAGATAAAAGACTCCACAGTGAACAGCTCATATTTATATTAATAAGGTGAGTTCCTAAATGCAAGAAACAGAGAGAGCACAAGAGACAGGGCAAATATCCTTTTTCTCGGGTTTTAAATCTCCTCAGCCACATTTACAAAGTGCTAATGAAAGACTGAGGTTGTGCCAATGCATTTAGAAACAGGCATGACGACGACAGTTAAATGTGGATAGGTGTGCCTCGGAATATGCCAGACTGAGGTTCAGTTCCTGAAGCACCAAATGTTTTTTCCCTGAAATGTTTGACTAGAAAAGGGTCATGCTTTTATGCTAGCAGTAGCTGTTTGCACACATACTCGATTTGTAGCTTTCCCGGCAGGGTGCAAACAAGACTAAATGCTGGTCAGACATAGGAATAGACTGAGGTGGAGGCATTCCTCCTGCCTGCACACGGACACCATGATGCAGCCACACAGCCACTGTGCAGAGTGGCTTCAGAGACCTCCATGGACACCCTTGTGGTATCCCACGGATATTAGTAGAGAAACTAGGAGCAGCTCTGCACATCTCCCCATGGGACATCGGTTTCCCTTCTGTACACTATGTTCCCCATACTGCAGTGGTCTAGCCTGCAAGATTGTCCTGTCTCTGTGGCAGCCCTTCAAGATACAACTGTGCCAAGTCCGATGAAAAGGGAGCCTCTGTGGTTTTGGAAGAAGGGTAACAAATCAAATCATAGTCACATATCTACTATAATATCCACATCAGTGTTACCTTTTACAGCCCCGCTCCTTAGACTGCCTGCGAGAGCCCTGGACTGTGCAGCAGTTTTTGTTAGAATGAATGTTAGACAATACCAGCAGACTGAAGAATTTTGTATGTAACTTAGTCTCATTTTAGTCCCTGAAGTAAGGTGAAAATCTTCAAACATGGCAATATGTAATGCAGATATCTCAACAGCAACTTTTCGGATTTCTAGCACATACCAGTGCTGCACACTGGGAATTCTAGGGCAGCTTTAGGCAAAGCAGAAACGGAGATTTTGTTTCAGTGAACAAACTCTGAATATGAACAAGCACAGCAGCTCTTCCTGGAGCTGTTCTGATAGTCAGTTCCAATCATTTGTATTTTGTTACTGCACTTCATACAACAAACATCCCTTGATTTCTCATATGGATGATCTCTTGCAATATCACAAAAAATGATGAGCAGCTGGGGATTTTGGGAAAGCAGGAAGGTTTCTGTATCACTATGATGGCTCTTACTGAAATGATCAAATTAGTAAATGTGACACTTAACTGGCCCTCATTAGGTTTCAGAATTAGCATTCCATGAAAGGCAGTTATCACTTCTTGGTCTTAATATTTCAAATTGTCTTATGTTTCCAATCATTTTGGGTGGGGTCAACCAGACTGAGTCAATCCATGGCTACCCAAGATGTTACAGGAAAAAGCAGACATTAATTATCTTTAAAAATGGTTCTACCTAACAGCAGATTTATCCTTACACCAATCAAGAACCAATTTTCTCATGCTCTCAGGTGCTTGCCCTCAAACCTGCTCATGCACATGTGCATCTCATACTACCGAAGGCCTGTTAATTTATAGCATCCAGGTACACAGGAACAATTGGTGAGAGTTAAAAAGAATCATCCTCTCCCCAGACAACCACAAGAGCATGTCTGTCCAAACATACTTTCAGAGAGAAGAAAACTGATGGCACTTACCTCCGACGCCGTTACAGCGAGATGTCATTTCCCAGAGGACCAAAGCCATGGAGTACACATCTGTTTGTTTGAAGGACTCCACGTTCTCCAGGTTCATCCTGGATTCCAGAACCTCAGGGGCCATGTACCTTGCTGTGCCAACCTACAGGAGAGGAGATCGGGGAGAGCTCAGGAGCTGCAATTGTAATTCATGTTTTGGATTCTGCTGTGATTTAACTTCAGCTTTCACAGAAACGGTGCCATTTGACATGTATCCAAAAGTTCAGGCCATACTTGGCACAGGTTGTATTTTCTGCTGCCAGGGGAATCTGGCATTGTCCTGACTACCAATTTACTTGCACCTCCCTTAGTAAAGAAGAAAAAAGAAGCCCTTTTTAGTTCCTTAAGCAAATAATTTTGACACTAACAAGCTTTCTCACTCTTTGGCTGTTCACAGATAAACTCTGCCCTTTGGGCCTGAAGTAATTGCCGCTGACCAAGTGTCTTTCAGATGAGCAAGAAACACATTGTATTCTTTTGCACTGTATATTAGAGTGTTAGCTGTTTCTTTTCATGGTAGGCTTAAAAGGAAAGTGGTAAATGCAGGCCTGGCAGAAGAAAGTAAATACACAAATACTGAATGCAGAAGCACACATTTGAATCGAAACCAAAAATCGGCCCCTTTGTTTGAAAAGCCGTTCTCATAAACTTTATTCATACTGAGTAATTTTCAGCAATGATTTTAGCAGCTTTGCTGAGATCTAGATTATGACCTTGCATTACAGGAGGCAAAGTTTAAATGTCTGTTTTTATCACAAGAAAGGATTTAAGGAAGAATTTTTGGATCACTCAACAGTTGCTCTTAAATGACAAACTCTTCACGGGGTAGGTATAAAAAATGTATCCGCCTTGAAAAACTGCAAACATAGTAAGTCTTTGATCAGGCAAGGACAGTTTCAGATTGGAGACTGGTTAATCACAGAGATGAACAAGCGTAAGTGGGTGATGCAGTAGGACCTGTGATTCAAATGAGCTATTTGTAGACTGCACTACAGCAATCACTCCAGAGCCTAGCGGCAAGCAGGACTGCAAAAGATCATTTCAGTTACTGGGTCTGCAATTGCAGGCAGCCACATAGTAAATGTACAGTCCCTGAGAGAGCCCTATGACATCCATTTTACAAGCTTCTGTAAACACATCTTATCACCCCAGGCTCAGGCCAAATGGGAAGAAGTTCCACAAAAAGTGCAATGCACCGTAAGAAGACAGCAGGAAAGATCAAAGACATAGCTTTGTCATTGGACCCTGCAACAGCAGAGAATTTCTGTGTCAAAAATACCCAAATCATTGTAGGATCAAAGCCTTTACAAACAGAGGACAGAAAAAACCCTGTGCAATCAGTCGCAAAGTTAAATTCCCTATTACGTGAACTCTGTGATGAATTTAAGGCCAAGCATGTGAGCAACAGCCATACACTGAATGGGTACTTGGGACAACCATGTCTCAGCACCACTGAGTTGGCCAGCATCTCCCTCCTCCTCCTACAGAACATGAATGCATGGAAACTCTGCAGCAAAGGCTGTTCCTACCCCTGCATCCGTTCCCCAACACACAATTTCTTCCCCAAGCAGGTCCCATCCAAAGCTTAAGAAGGGTTACCTGTACACTTCGGCCTGCAGTCCCACACCCCCAAATCCTGATGATTTTAACAAGAGTTAATGGTGCCTAAATACAGATTCTTAAGATTGTCATAAACTGCTGTTCTGGTCTGGCATTTCACACTCTTTGCAGCAGTGAAAATTATTCTGCAGCTTTGCTGGACAATGGAGGATCAAGCCCTATAACTAAAAAGTACAGTGAGAAATGCAGAGAAAATTTAAAATTACTTGAAGAATGGTATCAAATCAATCCCATTTCTGTCCTGCTTAGGATTTATCATGTGTTCCACTCTGCTTGAGTCCTTTTATCTGCATTTAGATTATTAGGTCTTTGGGTCAAAGATACTTTTCCTGTACCATGTGGAAACCTGAGCTCTGAGTCTCAAAGGCATTTTAGGTATCTAAACTCCAGCAGTTCAGAGTTGGTTGCCCCTCTGGAGTCTGGATATGCTTTCTCTTTGCAAAGACCAGTCTGGTTTCAGTTCTTGCTTCTCCAAAGCTTCTAGTGAGGGACCATCTCTCCTCCTGTGGTACATTATAATTTTTGTGACTTTTGGATCTTTTTTTACTGGAGACCTTATATTTCTTTCAAGCTGTTGAGGGATGCTTTGTGCCCTGAGGTGTGTCAGTCAGAGGGGCAGTAGATATCCCCCTTTATCTGATTAGGGAGACTACCTGTTACCAGGTTGCTGATGCTGCTGAGGTGAGGAACTGCTGGCCTTGCTGGCACCTGCCAGTCCTTTGAACACAAGGTCCAGTAGATATCCCCCTTTATCTGATTAGGGAGACTACCTGTTACCAGGTTGCTGATGCTGCTGAGGTGAGGAACTGCTGGCCTTGCTGGCACCTGCCAGTCCTTTGAACACAAGGTCCAGATTTATGTACTCACATTAAGTAATGTCTGCAAATATTAACCATCATGGTTAACATAATGGCCAAACTGAAAAGACTGCAAAGGTTCTAATGGGAAAAAAGACAGCTTCCAGCCAGCAACTAAGGGCACTGGTACTGTATAGTCAATAATGGCCACATTTGCACGATATGGAAGGTAGTTGGGTAGATGGGAAAGAAGACTGCTTTGTAACCCCAACAACTTGCCTTGAATGTTACTAAGGCTGACCGGAAAAATGGTAAAATACTTACACTCTTTTATCTATTTCATAGGAAGCTAGAGGTTTCCTTGATTTAAGATTTAGGTCAGCTCCATTATATACCTTGGACCTCCTGGTGGGAAAGGTTTGAGTCAAAGGGTAAAGTTCAGAAATTATGCATAAGGCAAATTCTGGTGCAAGACCCCTTTAGCAAAAGCTGCAGCACTGAAGTTGGCATGGTGGGGAATTTGAGTGGGTGGTGCTTGTGTGCCCAGAAGAAACAAGGTGAAGGTTGAAGTGGAGCCACTTCACACCATCTTACTCCTCATCACAGAGAAGAATGACACTAGCTGGGTCACCCTCAAACAGATTCAATGAAGCTATACAAAGTAAAACAGTGGGCCTCAACAGCAGTGCCCAAGGACACGGATTCCAAAGCAGTAATCTGCTCTGGGCATAACTGTACTTTGTCGTCAGTGTTGGTGTTGACTGTGGAAGTGGCAGTATCAATGCTACCCTCCTACATCCAACTGTCTGTGAGCAATGCCCCAGAGAAATCAGCTTAATATATGGGTTGGCAATCAAGTGTCTGTGGGGTTGAGTTTCAGAGCCCCTGCCTTACACAGCTGAATATTCTGTTTTCACTTTACTCCAAATGGAACCAGTCTTATGAGTTACAATATGGTATGACTTCCCTGAACTCCCAAAAGGTCTGGCATGCTGGAGAGAAATGATATGTAATTGTGAGTAGTGTTTGTATTATTTTAAATACAGGTTCCTTGGTTATCATTACTGCCGGTGCTGGTTAATAAACCCTCTCAAAATGAGATCATAGAATCATAGAATCATAG